CCCCCCCCCACCAATCTCAATCCCCTCTCACCTCATGGCTCTTGGCCATAACAACACAGAACACTACGATCGCTGCCCTGAAGAAGATGATGATTAACCTTGCTGACCCACTCAAGATGGCCGGCACTCCACAAGAAGACATCCAAAAGGCAATGGAATCTATATACTCAGCCCTTGGGGGCCTTATGGAGGTAAATGCCTTTGGGGATAGACTTATATTTTTAGCATGATTCCTCAGACTTCAAGGCATTAGCCCATGTTTAAGGAACATGAAAAGCTAAGAAGAGATAAATTGCTTCCGTATCAATATACGCTTTGAAATCAGAAGGTATAAACACAAGCATAGCAATGTTCAACCGTGTTTTATGGTAACCTAATCACACAAGGAGACCTGATCTTGCAACTGCACTTACAGCCCAATTTAAAGTCTTATTAAAATACCATACACACATATAATAAGTTTCCGACACGATGTGTTTTTATCTAAAGAATTAGGTCTCTAGATAAAACAAAATCAGGTTTTTAGTACGCTTGAAAACAAAAGCCAACCGCAATCGTGGAATAAAGTACAGGATAATAAATTGCACGGGAACGAAAGACCTGAGGTGAAACAAAATAAGCAAAAAGTTTTTTACTAATAACATTACAGGTTTTCACGAATACAATGGGGGAGGAAGCTACCAAGGGAAGGTGCCATAACATTCCTATGTGCATGCTGAAAAACTAACTTATTTTTCGGGTTACGTCCCCTTAATATGTGGTCTCGGCCTCCACAAAAACGTTTCAGGTCGGGATTCGAGGGATACGAAATTTCTTAATGTTTCTGGATATTTATACTTTCAAACCACTGTCCATAGGCTGTGAAGTGAAAAGGGGGTGAGGGTGGCACGAAAAGCGTACTCCCCTATTCTGTTCGTAAAGGGCATTCCAACGTAAATAAACAAAACAAAGACCGGTATCTCAAATGTCTCTTCTCACTTATTTTTAAACTCTAGGCTGGTGGTATGAAAGGTGACTACCCCACTCTGACAGAGCTCACAATTGCTCAAAAGGACCCTATCTGGCCGATCTACGAGACGTCATTGGAGGCTTTGGGGGATGAAACTGGTATACATGCACAATTTACTGGATGTGTTAACACTCTTGGAACATACTCATAATGGTATTAGAATGTTGATAAAGCTTTTACACGTCTCATCAGGAAATCAATTCAAACAAACTTTTAAAAATGAAGGAAAGCTATTGAGCGAAAGTACTAAACGGATAATTCTAATGAGGTTTGAAGCAGATTCCACGAGCAGAAAATACAAAGCTAATTAAGCATAAAGTCTTCGCTCTTGACTCGAACGTTGCCTCAAATGTAAGGGGCATAAGCAATGAAATTTCAGACATATAATGCCAACGAACATTCTTTTTGTCTACATTATTATCGAAATTACGAGGGCGGGGGGGAGGGGGGGGGGTCGATAATCAGAGATTATAATTTTACTCCCTTTTTTCATAAAATTAATTCTGAAAAAAGTACTACGTCTCATCACGAAAAGAGTTGAACCCCTATTTCGTTTTCAATTATTGGACCCTTAGTCCTACGTTTGTTCTTAATTCCCCAGATGTGTCCAAAGCAAATAGCTATGATGAGGCCAAGTTGTGGCACACGACTAATATACACAGAATTCTTCACAGACGACAGGTAAGATGCATTGTAGACAGCAACGAGAACATGAATTTCTGGTTACCTCGGTTACTCAAGGTGCCTATCGTGTGCTCATAAAAGTATGTTTGTCTGGAAGGTCAATGTATCTCTCTCCCCCACCCCTCCCCCTTCCTCCGCCCTCAGACGTAATACCCAAAAGTCGAAGTTATAGATCATCGCTTCTCCCGTCTGTTTTGATGTTAAGATATTCGACATATTTTGATTACTTTGGCCAATAGGATTATACTATTACAGTATTACCATATTGCTCACATAGGGACTGTCAGCGTTTACGAGTTGAGAACCTTTTCATGCTTGGGTGAATAGGCTGTTCCTTCTGTCTCTTTGTGCCTTTCACTGATATCATGTCATGAGGGTAGTCTGCGGGTGCGTTTATCCACTCTTTTCTTTGTCATTACCCACCGGTTACTTTACTCTTGGGCATTTTTGGGATTATGCAGAGTTGTATATCATGTGCCCTAAAACCTTCAAAATATCAAACATACTGAGAACTTCGTGTACGGTTCGTCACTGAGAGGCGAGGAGGGAAAGGGAAGGGGGAAAAATTAGGGGTACTGTAGTTGTTGTAGTTTCTTTGTCACTACTCTAAATGTCAAAAGATATACTTATACTAGTAGTACATAATATGGACTGCAGAGGGGAAATCCGTTGACTGAATTTCGTGACATAAGAAAATCTGGTCCTTGGGGGGGGGGGGGGGTGGGGGAGAGAAACGTATTGCATTAGTCTGTCTGGGGTGAGTATCATAGCTTAATGATGCAAAATTATTAAGGCAATAACTCTAAGTACAAGAAGCTTACTATGTGTGCATTCGTTTCTAAGAAGACTTCGTCTAAATATGTTTGTTAATGAGAGAATGCACGGCAAGTCTGTTCTTTTTGGTGTACCCTTTTGCCGAAAGTTTCAATGGTTTGTACTTTATTTTTCTTTGGGGTAAGTTGGGAGAGGGGGAGAATGGCATGTATTTTATGATTTCGTGACATTTTGAAGTTTCTCTTTACCTTTCTTCTTGTTGTAAGAACTATGTTTCATTTTTCTGTTTAATCAGTTAAATGTTCTATGTGGTCTATCCTACTTATGCTATTGCTATCAATTTTATTTCTCACAGCTTATTGTGGCTTTTTCTTGTTCCTCGGAGAAGAAAGGGGCTTTACAGACTGAGCATTAAGGAATTTTAAGACTTTTGGTGATGATTTAATATAATGCATTTGTCCAGTTATAGCCTATTTCAATTTGCCTTTAATTTACATATAGATCACCAATAGCTCACCATTTCCCACCTCATCCCAGGCTGAGTACATTGCCGAACAAGCCTATAGCATCCTGGATATGATGGCCAAACTGTTCGACAGCTTTGCCATCCCAGGCCAGGTACAAAAGAGTACTTCCTTCCGGATGAAGACACGCCTGGAAAAAAATGTGGTCAGCAACTTCCTGGGACGGACAATAACGCTGGAAGGAGATGTGGCGGCAGCTATCTCGCTGCCAGATACCGTGCAGGAACTGTTGCCAGATATTTCCCTCAATGAGGACGCCATTGTCACATTTCAGGTTATACTCATCTGTGATCTCTCTCCCTCTCCCCCCCCTCTCTCTCTCTCTCTCTCTCTCTCTCTCTCTCTCTCTCCCTCTCTCTCCCAGTCTCTCTATCTCGCTTTTATTCTTTGCTTGAATTCATTATTTTTGTAATTTGATGTTTTTGATTGTTTCTTTCATTTATTAGCATAACCATGTTTATCTATGTAATAGTCATATACTTTCTATATATAAACTTGTTCATCTTTTTATCACCCCCTCTCGGTCAACGATTTTGGACAAATCATTTCATGGATTTAGAAAAGAATAAAAGCATATCTGCAATTGTGCTGGAAACCCGGTTTTGCACAATATTCATAGGCTATGTTGTTTATGGACCTGCAGCAAACAAGCATTGTTTCACCGGGATCTTCTAATTCTATATCTTCCCATGGGTGCACCGTTGATATCAAGCTGGACTAAAGAGCGGACGGCCGTGGTTCGGCTCCCGAAAGATGCATTGTTTAAAGTGGGCTGTGTATGGGCGTTCATAAGGCTCTCCATCCATTTTCCACGGTTCAGTCGAAGATGGACATAAAATTCGGAGATTCCACCTCATAAATAACTTAACAATGACCAATAGTCCATCCCCTCAAATGTTTTACTGTGCAAGATACTAATAGCTCAGTTATCGTTTAGTAAGTCAGAAGCGATGTGAGTATTTAAACATGTCATCCCCACTGGGCGGGAAAATGAGCAGTGTAGCCTATATTTAAAAAAACAACAACCAAGGTGTACTGTGCTGAAACAATTGAATACCAATGACTTGAACGCTTTCCAAGAATTGATAACTAACCATTGATGTCCTTGTCTTGTTGCAAATATCTTCAATGACCAAGTAAATACTTTCAGCTGGTCACATTGTTTGTGTAATCTTTACTCACAATATTTGCCCAATAAGCACCATTGCCGCCCCCACCCTCACCAATTTCTTTTGCCATTTTTCCCATGTCTGTGACGTTTTACTTTCAAAATACATTCTGAGTTGTCTGAAGGAAGTGTGGTTCATTTCCCCCGACGATTACATTTTAATGCCACAAAAAGAAACAATATAAATTGATCGGATAAAAGCCGAGCGTATATGTCACATCCTCTCCCATTTTATGTTGATTTTTTAATTTTTTAATTATTTTTTTTGGGGGGGGGGGGGGGGGGGGGGGAGAACAAATAATAATAATATGTCCTTAATTATTTTTCCCTCTTTTTGATGTTCTGTGACCGAAACCTTGCGTCTTACTTTCTTTGTTGAATACAAGATAACTGTTTTGGGTCTATGTGATTTTGTGAAAACTCCAAAAAGTATGCATTTTTTAAAAACCCTTCTCAGATCGCCCAAAGCACCAATTTCCCCAAGCGTTACTCAGAGCTGGCCCGCTCCGCCATTCACAAATATACCCACTTTGTTACTGTGGACTTGTACAACTCGGCTGGCGGCAAACTCGTCATTGACAGAACGCGAAAACCTATCGTGTAAGATGACAGTTACATTGTCATTGTCCTCTCTCTCTCTCTCTCTCTCTCTCTCTCTCTCTCTCTC